GAAAAGGGCTCAAGACAAAGCAAACCAAAACGCTCCCTTGGCATCGTCCAGTTTAAGAATTCAAACGTATATACCCCCGAGTCCCCTCTCAGTCCTCGCTGATCGCCTCCCTCTCACGTCCCCCAAAGTGACCGTGAACCTAACTGCTGTGATCAGCACTTCGGTTCTTACGATCTTACCAACTGCATTAATTTGTTGCAGCTGTTTGAACAAACTACTGCAGACTGGGTCATTATCAACAGCAGAGATTTTAAAAATAATAATAAAAAAGAAAAAAATTACTTGCTCACAGCTCTGGAGGCTGGAAGTCCAAGATCAGGGTGCCGTGGGGTGGGGTGAGGGCCCCCCCCCCCCGCCGTGCAGGTTGCAAACCCTGCATTGTATCTTTGCCGGGAGGCAGGGGGTGGAGCTCTCTGGGGCCTGTCAGGAGGCGCTAATCCCAGTGATGACGGCTCCAGATTTCAACACGGGAATCTGATGGCGGTTGGGGGTGGACACCAACATTCAGACGCTGGTACCCATTAAGTATGCGTCTCTGAATATGACGGCAATATCCTCTAGATAAATATTCTGCCGGCCAGTGAGCCATTCCGCTGGCGAAGGACATTTGAGTGGTCTCCCACTTTGCTTAGTGTGGCCGACGGTGCTGCCAATGATCGCGGATATGTCCTGTGGTGTGCATTACTAGGTGGGGACTTTCCAGGTCCTAGGGTATATGTGCTGGGTTGGATAATGTCCCAGGAAATTCACGGCCACCTGGACCCTCAGAACGTGACCTTATTCGGAAATAGGCTCTTGGCAAATGGAATTAGCTACGATGAGGTCATGCTGCATTCCTTAGAGCGAGCCCTAATCTAATGTATTTATTTACTTTATTTTTTCTAAAGATTTTATTTATTTATTTGACAGACAGAGATCACAAGCAGGCAGAGGCAGGCGGGGGGGGGGAGCAGGCTCCCTGCTGAGCAAAGAGCCCGATGCAGGGCTCGATCCCAGGACCCTGAGATCATGACCCAAGCTGAAGGCAGAGGCTTAACCCACTGAGCCACCCAGGTGCCCCTATTTTTATTTTTTTAAAGATTTATTTATTAGAAAGAGTGTGGGGCGGGGTGGGGAAGGGGCAGAGGGACAGAGGGAGAGAGAGCTTCTAGCAGACTCTACGCTGAGCGCAAAGCCTGACATGGGGCTCAACCCCAGCACCCTGGGATCACAACCTGAGCTGAAGGTGGACACTTCCCCGACTGAGCCCCCCGACCACCCCTAATCTATATATTCAATAGCTCAGTTCCAGAGAACTGACATCTTCATTATTCTCAGATCTTCCTGTTCATGAGCTTGGGATCTTTATTGACTCAGGTCTTCTTTAATGTCTTTCAACAAAGTGTTCAGATTTTCCTCATATAGGGCGCCTGGGTGGCTCAACTGGTAAGAATTCAACTCTTGATTTCGGCTCAGGTCATGATCTCAGGATGGTGAGATTGAGCCCCAAGTCAAGCTCCATACACAGTAAGGAGCCTGCTTGGGATTCTCTCTCTCTCCCTCTCTCTCTCTCTGCCCCTTCCCCCTTGCATTCACACACACACACACACTCTCTCTCTCTCAAAATAAACAAAAATAAAACTAGGAAAAAAAAGGGGTGCCTGGGTGGCTCAGAAGCTTAAGCCTCTGCCTTCAGCTCAGGTCCTGGTCTCAGGGTCCTGGGATCGAGCCCCACATCGGGCTCTCTGCTCCGCGGGGAGCCTGCTTCCCCCTCTCTCTCTGCCTGCCTCTCTACCTACCTATGATCTCTCTCTGTATGTTAAATAAATAAATCTAAAAAAAAAGAAAATTTTAATTTTTTTAATTTTTAAAAAAGAAACTAGGAAAAAAGATTTTCCTCATATGGGGGGTACCTGGCTGCCTCTGTCAGTAGACCATGAGAATCTTGATCTTGGGGTCATGTGCTCAAGCCCCTCATTGGGGGTAGAGATTCCATTAAAAAACAAAATCTTAAAAAAAAAAGTAGATTTTCCTTATAGGAGTCTTCCACATATTTTGTCAGATTGATTTCTAGATACCCTCTAGCTTCTGTAAATGGTGCCTTGTTTTCAATTATATTTTGTAATTCTTTGTCGCTGCTGTGTGTACAGAAACACAATTGATGCTTCTACACACTGATTTTATAGCTGGGAGACTTTCTAAGTCCCTATTTCAAAAAAATTATAAATTCATTTGGGTTTTCTGTGTAGACTATCTTACAATCAGAAAATAATGAATGTTTTCTTTCTTTCTTTACAATCATTATTCCTTTGATTTCCTTTCTTGTCTTACTGCTCTGATACCACTGGTATCATCAAACATCCTCAAAGTTTTTAAAAGTTCAATATCAAGGGGCACCTGGGTGGCTCAGTGGGTTAAAGCCTCTGCCTTCAGCTCAGGTCATGATCCCAGGGTCCTGGGATCGAGCCCCGCATTGGGCTCTCTGCTCCACGGGAAGCCTGCTTCCTCCTCTCTCTCTGCCTGCCTCTCTGCCTACTTGTGATCTCAGTCTGTCAAATAAAATCTTTAAAAAAAAAGTTCAACATCAAAAATAATATTTACTCTAGTTATTTTTATAGGTGATTCCTATCAGATTAAGGAAAGGTTTTTTGGTAGATAGACTCTTTCAGATTAAGAAAGTTCCCTTTGGGGGGCACCTGGGTGGCTCAGTGCATTAGGCCTCTGCCTTTGGCTCAGGTCATGATCCCAGGGTCCTGGGATGGAGCCCCACATCGGACTCTCTGCTCAGCGGGGAGCCTGCTTCCTTTTTTCTCTCTCTGCCTGCCTCTCTGCCTACCTGTGATCTCTGTCAAATAAATAAATAACATCTTTTTTAAAAAAGAGAGAGAGAAAGAAAGAAAGTTCCCTTTGGGGCACCTGGGTGGCTCAGTCGGTTAAGCAGCCAACTCAGGATTTTGGCTCAGGTCATGATCAAAAGGTTGTGAGATGGAGCCCTGCACCAGGCTCCACGCTGGGTGTAGAGCCTGGTTAAGATTCTCTCTCTCCCTCTCCTCCTCCCCTACCTCTGTCAAATAAATCTTTTTTTTAGAAGTTCCCTGTAGTTTGCTTAAAATGTTTTAAAGTTATGAGTATTTTGTCAAATGCATATTCTGTATCTACTGAAATAGCCCTATGGGTTTCCTGGTTTACACAGTTAATACAGTGAATGGTATTTGTGGATTTCACCATCCCAGGACAAGCCAGATTTTGCTGTGAACATAAAACTACTCTAAAAATAATACGAAAAAATCGAATTACAGCATCTATACAGTAAATATCTGTAGTTGTTTGTTAGAATGGGTGTATGTGGGGGAAGTGATATCACATCTGGACCTGCAACTGCAAATTGGCCAACACTCTGTGCCCCCCCCCCAGGTGAGTTTCCCCCTTCTGCTTACTTTTAAACACTTTTATTTGGAAGTAGTTACAGAGTCATGCAGTTACAGTCCTGGTCATCTTTGATCTTCTCTTTGCACTGGCTCACTCTCGTGGTTCCATCTTTCCTTCATTGCACATTTCTATTACTCTCCATGGTCTGACTCCCTGCCGAATCCAGGGCTTTGTGCAGGCTGGGGCTTCATCTCTTCATGTCTGGTGATCTTTGTGGTCTTCTGGGGCGATCTTAACTCATGGATGGACTAGAGACCTAGGCGGAGCTCACTTCGCTCTAGAGGGCTTGCTTCTGCTTCCTCCAGGAGCACCACCAGCCCAGCCTGTGCTCCGACCAAGGGCCTCGAGCTCAGCCAAGGAGGCCTCCCTCACCTCGCATCACAGTGTGTGCTGCTCACAGTGGCTTGCTGGGCCCTTTGGAGATATCGTCCCTCCCGGGAACCAGCTTGGGGTAGACGGAATTGCTCTCTGCTTCTCCCTACCTTACTGGATTTGGGTTTTGAATCAAGTCCGTTAGGCTCACTGTGCCTCCTTTACAAAATAAGATTAATCCGTACTTTTGCTAGTTTGTTATGGGCATTACAGCTAATGACTGAGGTTTTTTGTTTTTTGTTTTTTTTCCAAGTAGGCTCCAAGTCCATCATGGAGCCCAACACAGAGCTTGAACTCACAACCCTGCGATCAAGACCGGAACTGAGATCAAGAGTTTTAGGGATGCCTGGGTGGCTCTGTTGGTGAAGCGTCTGCCTTCAGCTCAGGTGATGATCCCAGAGTCCTGGGATTGAGCCCCACATTGGGGTCCCGGCTCCACAGGGAGCCTGCTTCTCCCTCTCCTTCTGCCTGTCGCTCCCCATGTGTGCACGTGTATACTCGCATGCTGTCAAATAAATAAAATCTTAAAAAGGTTGGACACAACCAACTGAGCAACCCATGCGCCCCAATAATGACTGAAGTTTACAGTGAGAGCTTGGTGTGCTCAAGGGCCCTTGTTGCTCTAAGGGTCCAGCCTTCCTGTCCAGCAGCCACCTCACGACCCCACCCGTGAAGAAGCCAGAGGTAAAACACAACACAGATGCTTTATTGGTTACAAAACATGAAAACCCAGGTCCCATGGGACTCAAGGGATGCCAGGGAGGTGGAAGACAGAGCAGCTGGTGGGCCCGGGCACACGGGCAAGGGACAGGGTCTCAGCCCCTTGCCGCAGGCTCTGTTCAGCGGGGCTCCGCTTCTGGCAAAAGGCGGCTCGTCCGCCTGCAGCCCAGGGCTGGGCCCTGCCCGAGGACCCCACGCCTATGGAAAGTGCGGGCAGAAGGAAGATGAGGCTGGCGGCCGTCTCTGAGGAGGTGGTGAGCAGCTCCCAGATCGGGGCAGGTGGGAAAAGACCAGGCCAAGGGCCTCAGGGACCGCTACCCAGAGTTCCGGCCTGGCCACCTGTCCCCCTTCAAGTCCCCTCCGTCCTGATGCCAGCGCTGGAAGGGGACACCTGGAGGCAAGAGAGGAGCCCCGCCAAAGTTTCTCCTTTCTTTCGTGCCCGAGTGGGAAGAGCAGCTCAAACGCTTCCTTCCACTGAAACGGCTCAGAGCGGGGGGGAATGCTCGCCAACGAGGACAGGACACCTGCCAGGGCTTATGTACACATCTGTCTAAAAAAACGTATGTGACCTCAAAACGTCAGTCCATCCCCCAGGTGAGCCCTGTGCCGTGCAAGGACCCAAAGGCAGCACTGAGAGCAGGCGGCTGGGTCCTAGGTCGGAGCTGCCTCTTTCCCGGGCCTGGAGGCCAGAGGGAGCAGGCGGGGGACAGGAGCTGGCAGGCCTGTGGCAGGCTGACGTCTACCTCCCGGGCTGCAGGTGCTTGTGCAGCTGCTCCGCCTGGGTCTTCAGGTGCTGAAATTCTTCCTGAATGAAGTCGGTCAGAGCTTTGCGCATCTCCACCTGAGGAGAAGGACGGGGGCTCGCCTGCGGGCCTTGGGCAGTTTGGCCCGGGGCCCTGGGAGGCTGAGGGTGCCAGGAGAGGCCACGCCAGCCACAGGGTAGCCCGGGGCAGGCGGGTGGGGGAGGCGCCGGGGAGAAAGGCAACTCACAGCCGACTTGTTCTCAGCCCGGAGCCGTTCGAGCACAGGCAGAGCACTGAAGGGCTTCCCGATCAGCACCGTGATTTTCTGCAGGGAGAGCAGCCACCGGCGGGTGACAGAAACAAGCCGTGGCCCAACCAGCCCAGAGGGCCAGAAGCTAAGTCCTGCCCCTAACTTGCTGTGCGCTCCCTCATGGCCACGCTCCCTCTTTAAAACAAGGTTGTGTGTGGGGATGCCTGGGTGGCTCAGTGGGTTAAAGCCTCTGCCTTCGGCTCGGGTCATGATCCCAGGGTCTTGGAATCAAGTCCCACATCGGGCTCCCTGTTCAGCGGGGAGCCTGCTTCTCCCTCTCCCACTCCCCCTGCTTGTGTTCCTGCTCTCGCTCACTCTCTGTCAAATAAACAAAATCTTTTAAAAAATAAAATAAGGGCGCCTGGGTGGCTCAGAGGGTTAAAGCCTCTGCCTTCAGCTCAGGTCATGATCCCGGGGTCCTGGGATCGAGACCCACATCGGGTTCTCTCCGTGGCGGGGAGCCTGCTTCCTTCTCTCTCTCTCTGCCTGCCTCTCTGCCTACTTGTGATCTCTGTCTGTCAAATAAATAAATAAAATCTTTAAAAAAATAATAAAATAAAATCAAACGAGGTGGTCAGGCTGAGAGACATTCAAGTCCTGCAGGCCCCGCTGCAGATGTCCTGTCCTGCTTAGACCCCAGGGTTCCCCCCACCCGGCCTGGTTCCTCTTGCTGTCCTTCTACCGGCCTCGATGCCAGGAACTCCCTCTCTCTCTGTTCCACTCGGTCCCCCTGCTGAAGCTGCATCTGGCCTCAGTGGTGCTAAGTGGGAGACAAGAGGCAGATGGCAGGCAAGACAGACAGACGAAGGCCAGCAGCCCGTACCCACCTGTCCAAAACGGGGGAAGTAGGGCGGGCTGTTAGGGAGGACATCATTCATTCCTGCAGCACAATGGACAGAGGCCGGGAAGCAGGCATGGGGTGGAGCAGGGCAGCCCCAGCCCCCTCCACCCCGGGGTCCCTCTCCCTGCCACCCAGTGGAACTCTCCCCAAACCTATGGAAGCACCCCCTTCCCTGGCCTCACCCCCAGGCTGCAGCCTCGGCCCGAGAGGGATGCTCACCAACATGCCACAGTGGCAGGATGACGGGGTTGAGATGACACTCGGCAATCAGGCGTCCGATTCCTGCCCCGGGGAGAGACAGCAACGTTGGCACAAGCAGAGTTTCGGTGCCAGCCTACGGCAAAACCACCGCTGCCCACCTCCAATTAAGACCAACTGCCCTGGTCTGGCTCCTCTGCAAGGCGAGCCCTTGTGCCGGCGCTGCCCCCCACCCCGGCACCGCCCATTCGCCCATCCCAGGCCGCCGGGCAGCAGCGCCTGCCCCACGCCTACCCCACTTAAAGCGCAGGAACTCGGAGCTCATGTTCACCTTCCCTGTTGAGAGACAGGACAGGGGTGAGGCTGGGAAGCTGGGGGTGTGCGCAACCCCGCCAGCGCCACTGACCTTCTGGGAAGATGTGCACCCAGTCCCCATGGTTGAGCTTATCCAGAATGAAGTCCATTCCCTTCTGGTAGACGCCGTCTCCTGCAGGGAAAAGGCCACGCCGTCGGTTGTCATTCTGCCAGGGCGCCCTCCTTGCCTTGGCAGCTCAAGGACACCGTCATCCCCACTGCACCGGCCACGCAGACACCCTCCAATCACTGTCCCTGGGGACTCAGCCAAGGTTTCCCTGGGGCCCATGATGGCGTTTGTTCAATGGTAACCTCTAACCCTCCAAGTACCCGTCATGGACAAGGCAGCATCACTGTCTCCAACTGCCTCCAAATGAAGTTCCAAGCTGGCAACTCCTCCAGTGGCCTCCAAGCCCACCTTCTGCCCGCCGGTCCCACGCAGCCCCGCCCGCTGCGCCTCGGACACCGGCGCTGTGCGCCCTCACAGACTGGCCTGCCGGCTCTGCTCCCTGCCGGCCTGGCCCCCCTTCAGCTTTTGCAGCCTTTCTCCTTGGGGTGCACCACCCCTGGGGCGAGCCTACCGTCTGCCACCCCTGGCCCTGAGGGCACTGCAGGAGCAAACCAAGTCTGTTCGTGATTTCCAGCCTCACTGGGGCCTCAGACCCCACACAGCGACCCTTTCCTGCGGTCTTGGCTGGACAGTCATCACAGCTACTCTTCGCAGGCCTCCCAGCCCCGCCTGAGCCCTCAGCCTCCACCATCCCTCCCTCCCGGCTGATCCCTTCGCCCCTCATGGGGCTCCCCCAGAAACTAGACTGTCATTATTGAAGCCTCTTGGGAAAGGGAGAACGTTGATGCGACATGTGGTGTCACTGAGAGCCGGGAAAAAGTCAAACTTGCTAGTCTGAAAAAATGGGGGTTTAAGTGCCCCCAAGGCTAACAGCACCCACTGTGGAGACACCTGGAGACCCTGACACTGAGCCCGGGGGGCCTGGCAGTGAGCAACAGCGCAGATATGGGTGCCCAACGCTATGCACTGGCCTTCAGCTGGAAGCCCCGTGGGGACGCGCTGTGACCCCGCGGCCAGAACCTCTACCGTGCCCGTGGAGTGGACAGTGATGGGTGACCTCGTCAAGGAGGGAGAGACACACCATAAAGATGAGGAGACAGACACTGGGGCTATCTCAAGTCAGTGCACCAGGAAATGGGTTTTTAACCTGTTCTCTGCAAGGCCGAGTGTTTAGAAGGTGCTAGAGAGCCGTCCAGGAGGCTGAACTAAAGCCAACCCAGTGGGAACCTCACCCAGCAGCTCCCGCAGGGGCTGGAGTTGAGGAGCAGCCAGTCCCGGTGGCTTCTCAGGGCTTCAGGAGAGCAGCGCTTCCCCTCCATGGCACAGCTTTCCCTGGTAGGAGGGGGCTTCGGAGCGCCCCGTCCATCTCCACCAAACCTCACTGGTACAACAGCGCCATCCAGCTTGAAATGCAAATCATGCTAAACTACAAGGCTCCTCAAGCTCTGGGACACTGCCAGCGGTTCTAAGAAGGAAATGCAGAGTGGCTCGTGCCTACTTCAAGAAACATGAAAAACCTTGATCTAACCTCACACCCAGAAGAACTAGAAAAAGAACAAAGCCCAAAGTTAGTAGAAGAAGGAAATAATAATTACATCAGAGTGGAAATAAATGAAATAGACTAAAAAAAAATCAATGGAACCAAGAGCTGGGTCTTTGAAAAGATAAAATTGATAAACCTCTAGCTAAACTCAGCAAGAAAAGAGGAGAACGAACGACTGGTACCACAGATCCACCAAGGACCGCAAGAGTAGCGTGAAAAATTACACGACAAAAAGTTGGACAACCTGAAAGAGAGAGATACACACTCAACACGGAATCGGGAAGAAACAGAAAAGCCGAACAGGCCAACTACTAGTGAATGATTATTTGAATCGGTCATCAAAAAACTCCCAACAGGGGCACCTGAGTGGCTCAGGGGGTTAAGCCGCTGCCTTCGGCTCAGGTCATGATCCCAGGGTCCTGGGGTCGAGCCCCGCATCGAGCTCTCTGCTCAGCGGGGAGCCTGCTTCCACCCTCTCTCTCTGCATGCCTCTCTGCTTACTTGTGATCTCTGTCTGTCAAATAAATAAATAAAATCTTAAAAAACAAAAACAAAAACTCCCGACAAACAAAGTCCAGGACCAGATGGCTTCACAGGTGAATTCTGCCAAACATTTAAAGAAGAGGTAATATTTATTCTTCTCAAACTATTCCAAAAAAGGAAGAGGAAGGAAGGGTTCCAAATACGTTCTGTGAGGCCAGCATCAGCTTGATACCAAAACCAAAGACATTACAAAAAAAAGAGGACAAGACAGGACTACAGGACAATAGCCCTATGAACACAGACGCATAAACCATCAACGAAGTATTAGCAAACTGAATCCAACAACACGTTAGAAGGATTATTCACCACCATGGAGTGGGATTTATTCCAGGGATGGAAGGATGGTTCAGTATCTGTGAATCAATGCTAGTGACCCCGCTAACAAAACGAAGGGTGACAATCATGTAATCATAATAGATGCAGAAAAAGCATTTTTTAAAAAGATTGTTATTTATTTATGACAGAGAGAGACACAGCGAAAGAGGGAGCACAAGCAGGGGCAGTGGGACAAGGAGAAGCAGGCTTCCTGCTGAGCAAGGAGTCCGATGCAGGGATGGATCCCAGGACCCTGGGATCATGACCTGAGCTGAAGGCAGAGGGCAGATGCTTAACAACTGAGCCACCCAGGCACCCCCAGAAAAAGCATTTTGACAAAATTCAACATCTGTTCATGATAAAAATTCTCAACAAAATGGGTTTACTTTTTTCTATTTTTTTAAAGATTTTATTTATTTGACAGAGAAAGAGAGAAAGAGCACACAAGCAAGGGAACGGCAGAGGGGGAGGGAGAAGCAGGCTCTCTGCTGAGCAGGGAGTCCGATGTGGGGCTTGATCCCAGGACCCTGGGATCATGACCTAAGCTGAAGGCAGACGCTTAACCAACTGAGCCCCCCAGGCACCCCTACAAAGAGGGTTTAGAGAGAACATAACATAATAAAGGCCACCTATGACAGACCACAGCTGACATCATGCTCAATGCAGAAAAACAGATTTTCCTCTAAGGTTAGGAAGAAGACAAGGATGTCCACTCTTGCCGTTTTTATTCAACATTGTACTACAAATCCTAGCCTCGGTGATCAGACCAGAAAAAGAAATGAGGGGTGTCTACGTGGCTCAGTGGGTTAAGCCTCTGCCTTCAGCTCAGGTCATGGTCTCAGCATCCTGGGTCAAGCCCCACATCAAGCTCTCTGCTCCATGGGGAGTCTGCTTCTCCTTCTCCCTCTCTCTTGCTTTCCCTCACTCTTTCAAATAAATAGTCTTTAAAAAAAAGAAAAGAAAAAGAAATAAGAGGCATCCATTTTGATGAGGAAGGAGTTAAGCTATCTCTATTTGTAGGTGATAGGATACTATCCATAGAAAACTCTAAAGGCTCCACCAAAAAGTTATTAGAATAAATGAATTTAATAAAATTTTAGGATACATGAATGAAGAAAGATGTGGTGTATACGCAGCTACACACACAGAAAATTCCTGAGTCTTAAAAAAGGATGAGATCTCAGGGTTATGAGTTCAAGCCCCACACTGTGCATGGAGCCTACTTAAAAAAAATGAATGAATGAATGAATGAATGAGGGGTATCTGGGTGGCTCAGTCAGTTCAGTGTCTGTCTTCAGTTCAGGTCAGGATCCCAGGGTCCTAAGATCGAGCTTCGCATCGGGCTCCCTGCTCTGTGGGAAGCTTGCTCCTCCCTCTCCCACTCCCTGTGCTTGTGTTCCCTCTCTTGCTATCTCTCTCTCTCTTTCTGTCAAATAAATAAAATCTTAAAAAAAAAAAAAAAGAATCTGCCTTCGGCTCTGGTCATGATCCCAGGGTCCTGGGATCGAGCCCAACATCGGGCTCTCTGCTCAGTGGGGAGCCTGCTTCTCCCTCTGCCTCTGTGATCTCTCTCTCTGTCTCTCAAATAAATACTTAAAATCTTTTTTTAAAAAAGGAGAGAAATTTTAAATAAATAAAGGGAAAAAATACTACTACCATGATTTTGGCACAACACATGAGTATTTAGCTTCTACAAATGCTACTTCTGCTCACCTGCATGGCTTGTCCAAGATCACTTTGATACTTCATAAGGCCTGTACTTGGGAAGGAAATGGAGTATTTTGGAACACAGAAGCCAAGTAAGCCAGATACTTCCTTTGCTTTAACACAATTTGTTATATCTTTGCTCCACGTCACGTATGTTTGAAAAATAGCTTGTCCCTGTCCACTTTCTCTCACTGAAGGTGCTGAGAATTAAGATTTTTTAGAATTTTTATTTATTTATTTGTCAGAGAGAGAGAGCACAAGCAGAGGGAGCAGCAGGAAGAGGGAGGAGCAGGCTCCCCGCTGAGCAGGGAGCCCGATGTGGGACTCCATCCCAGGATCCTGGGATCATGACCTGAGCCCAAGGCAGACACCTAACTAACCGAGCCACCCAGGTGCCCCCAGTTTTCTGGTTTTAACCGTACAGTAAAACTTAGATGCAGAGCAAAAAGCAGAACAAGACAAAAAGGTGACGTGGAGGGCGCCTGGGTGGCTCAGTCGGAAAAGCATGTGACTCCTGATCTCAGGGTCATGAGTTTGACACCCCATTAAAAAAATAAATGAACTTAAAAAATAAATACATAAAACTTAAGAAAAAAGACATGGACACAGAAAGCCTGTGTGTGAGGTCGCAGAAGGGAGGACCTGAGATCAGGCACCTGAACAGAGTTCCCATCACACGATGCCACGGGCACTAGCCGCAACACTCGTAGCTTCTGCTCATGTTTTGGAGAAATGAAGTGGCCTTCGAACGCAGCAAGAAGTGAAAACACTCAAAGCTGTTGTCTCCAAAGAGCAGATGTGAGGATCTGAGCGCTGCAGCTTTTCATTAAAAGCCCTTCATTTTTTTTGAGGTTACTTTACTGCGTTTCTCCAGCAGAAGTAAGAAACTCTCCCTTGACCTCTGACACCCTTTGGTTACCGCCTCCTCCCTCTTCCTCTTCATGACGGACCTTCTGGGAGGGGTGAACACCCCTGCTATCCCCACTCCCTCCTGGCCCTGGCAGCTCCTGTGGCTGTCACTTCACAGAAATGGCTTCTCCAGGGTCCCTGGAGACTTCTCCAGTGCCAAGGGGCCCTGCTTTGCTTCCTTCCTGCCTGGCCACTGCTTCCTGCTGCCCCGGTGGCCTGTGTCTCTGTTCACGCTCTAAGCTGCCGTCCTAGCACCTGCTGGCCGTCCACTCTCCCTCGCTGCCACTCTTCCTCTACTTCTGCAACTCTGTTATTCGCTGAGTCCCTACTACGTCCCTACTAGTCTTCTGAGCTCCAGAACTGCACATCCCACTGCCTCTGGGACCGCTGCCCTCCTCGGGCGACAGGCTCCTCCAATGAAACATGTGCAAAACACAACACCCCTCCCCTTCAACCCCCACACTGCTTACCGTCCGTCCCATCCTCCCAGTGGCTCAGTGTCATCAGACGTCACCTAGCGTTGTCTTCAAGCTATCTTTTCCTTACCCCTTCCCACACCCAGTCTGTCAACAAGTCCTGTCTACTCTGCCTCCAGCTGTCCGCAGCGGCCTCCAGAGGCGCAGCTATGATGGTCTGCTGCTGCTGGAATGACCCAACGAGCCCCTACCCAGGCTCCCGGCCTCCACCGAGCTCTGCTCCCCCTCCCCCCACCAGCCACGCTGCGGCAGGAATGGTTTCTCTCTCTGAACCACAGAAGGAAGCACATCACTGCCCTGATGACGGAATAGAGTCCAAAATTCTTAACACGATTATTCCAGAACCTTCACATTTGGCTGGCCTGCAACCTACATTTTCTACATTTATCGCTTACCTTTTCAGGGCCTGGCATGTACTTCCTGTGTCTCGAATGCCTTTCCTTTCATACTCTTGCCTAGAAAATATTGTCCTTTCACAGACAAAAGAGCAACCTGGATTCAAATCCTGGCTTTGCCACCTCTCGCCCCATGACCCTGGGCCAGCGGCTTAATTCCTCCAAACCCCTTTATCTGATCAAAACGGCCCCCACCTCCTGAGGCCCTCAGTGTCACACCCTCACCCCGCAAGCCTGTTTTCTGAAACGCTGCAGCTTCCAGCACATGCCACCACCACGGAAGACCCATGACGCCACCCTCCCATTGCTGAGTCTCTTAGCTGCGGACAATGCCTCCTTGGCTTCTAATGCCACAGTCCAGGTTCACACAGCCCTCAGGCAGTCCCAGGAAATGCATGCTCTCCACGAGGCCCTCGCTCCTGCGGCAGCCAGTACCACCTCTGCAGCCACGCAGTGCAACAGGGACTCACACTAGCAGCTCAGTGGCCGCTGGCCCCCTCTGTGCCCAGGCTGTCCCAGCAGGGTCCCTCCACTCCCAGGACTGCTCAAGCAAAAGCACTGACCACCAGTCCCTGCTCCGAAGAAAAGCAGAGAAGGCTGCAGAAGTGCCTCCCTGCATTCACTCGCCCACGAGCCCCTCTTGGAGGACCAGCTCACCTCGGCACACGGGCACACACTTGCCCAAGCTGAAGAAGCGGGAGTGCAGCTCTCTGGTGAAGCAGATGTCTGCAGCTGCAGGGGTCCTGAAGTAGGGACAGATGTAGTCATCCCTGCCTCCCCTGCACCCTAATTCCCTGCCCTCCCCCAACATGATGCCTGACATCGTCGGCAGTGTGGAAAGGAGGCACGGGAGAGCCTGCGGAACCCCACCCCGTGCCCTGCCTGTACTGCTGGATGCCGCCTCCTGGGCAGAGCAGGAGGAGGGCAAATCTGGGCAGAGACGGGTGAGGCCTGCCAGGCCCACTGCGAGGGGCCCATTCCTCCTCACCAACGCATCAACTTCAGGTTCCAGATGTGGCGGAGTTTCAGGATCCCTAGAGAAGGAAAGTCTTCATGCCCCAGCTTGCCTAGTCCCCAGGGAACATCTTTTTCTGTTACCCGGTTTCAGGGAATGAGGAACAGAGGCAATAGCACTACCATTTCCCTATGGCTGAAGGCAGCATCTTTCAGTCGCTGGGGCTGGACCCTGCGTTGTCCCTGGCTCCTCCCTCTTTCCCACCCTCACCCATACCTTATTAGTCGCCACATCTGGCCTGCCTACCCCCAGGTATCTTTTGCCACTGCCTCTTGTTCTATACCTCTCCCTCCACTGTTGCTGCCACCACACTAGTCTAGGTTACTGAGTGGCTCTAAAAGGTCCCTCCTGGTCCCCCGGTGTCTGCCTATGGCACTCTACAGGCCCTTCTATGCCCAGTGGCCAGGGTGAGCTCTGAAAGGCTCTGATTTGACTAACTAGCTTCCCATGAGCTCTACAACAGTCTAACCTCCCGAATTCATCAATAAAAGCTCTGGGCACCCCTCTACCCAGCCATCTGGGTTACTGGAGCCAAGCAGCTCCCTGTGAAGTCAGCAGAGCAGGAACTTCTAGGTGGCAAAGTGGGCTCCCAAATGAGGCGGGTTAAAGGATACACACTCGGCCTGGGGCAAACTTGGAAGCAGGACACGGGTCTCCCAGCCTCTAGCCCACACCTTCGTTGACAAGATACCCTATGGTTCTCAGATTTAATACTCTGTGGGACCATCCACAGTTTAGAGAATGGAGGGTGCCACAGGCCTGATGCTACAAAGTAAAGCAGCCATCAGACTGCCCTGCAGCTGCTTCCTCACTTCCTCGATCCCTCCGAATTTCTGAAGCCCTTACCAAGTCATTTTCTGAGAGGACACTGAAGGGGCCACCAATCATATTTTCATCGTCGGCGCAGGACACGCAGGAACAGGAGTGCCAGGGATATGTACAGAGCCCAGTGAGAAGTGAGTTGGTTCTGCTTTTGTGTGGCCCCCTCCCGGGTTCTCGCCATGCCTCCCTACGCCCAGAACCCTGGTGCCAGGTACCCCAGAGGTGAGGGTCATCCATGCAGGACTGGTGATTGGAGACAGTGATGAGGGGCGTGGCTGGGCCTCGGTTCTCGATGAGCTCGTACAGCACCTCTTTGTTGTGGACGGTGAGGTGGTTCATGTACTCTGGAGGGAGAGACGAACTGTGGGAAGAGGTCTTGGCCTCATTCTCCCTGGGTCCCAGGGCTGCCCCCAGCCAAAATGGCCCCCACCCACAACCCCAAACCCCAACTCTGGCTGGGCGTGGAGAGCCGTGGCCTACTCTGCCTCGGCTTTGGGCCCACTCACTGGTCCAGAAGCAGCTGTAGGTGCCCACCAGGCCCATGACGACGCTGCTGGCCAGAGTCCAGGTGAACGGCGGCACGGCGGGGAACGGCCATTTCACATTCAGGGGCATCTCCCCCGCTCCTCACTCCCCAGGCGGCCCGGCGCTTCCCCTGCCACAGGGCAGCCTGTGGGGCCGCTCTAGGTCTGTGTCCCCGACCGCTGGAGAACTGGGTCTCTGACAGGCCCGTGCCACAAGGGCTCCGGGCGGCAGGGGACTCGACCAAGGTCACCTCGCAGGTCAGGCCAGGGCCGGGCCGGCCCCCGCTCTCTCGCCACAGACGAGCCGCTACTGGGGTCAGGAGCCGGGGGTCTCAGTGAGAAGCGAACTGGCCCGGCGACGGCAGCCAGGAGCCCCGCGCCCCCGCCCGAAACCGAGCCAGCGACGGCGGCCCGCTCTTCGCCGCCTGTCGTAAAGGGCTATGAGGCCGCTTGACGGCAGCGGGGGCGGGCCCTGGGGCCGTGTGGCCCCGCCCCGCCGCGCCGCGCCGAGCACGTTCCCGGCGGCGGGGGCTGCGCGTCCGGAGGTGTCCGGAGCTAACCCGGCTCCGCAGCACAATGACGGGACACCGCTAAAGGCTGGAGTTCACGGCACTTTTACTTTAGTTCTTCTTCCCCTTTATTTTCATTGAGGCAAAATTCATATAACGGAATTAACCGTTTTGTAATATTTTGTAGCATTTTATACCGTATGCCATGTTTTATGTATGTAACCTGTTATGTGTTACATTAAGTAGTTTCACATAATTAACTGCACACAATTTTGCAGTTACAATATTACAGCTTTGTACAATGTGTGTATATATATGTAACATGTAATGTGATGTATATGTAGCAACATAGGCCAAATAATAAAGATACCATGTATAACATAGTATTTCCTGTCGTTCAGCACATTTCCAGTATTCTCAACCACCACTTCTCTATTCCCATAAGAAAGCCTTGTATCCGCTAAGACGTTGTTTATTTTCCTTCTCCTCCTCTTCCTCCTTCTTCTTTTATTTAAATAATCTCTACCCCCAACGTGGGGCTTGAACTCAGTACCCTGAATTAAAGGGTCGCATGCCCTACTGACTGAGGCCCTGGAAACATTTTCTAAAAATCAATAGAAAGGTGCTTCAAAAATAAGAAATCTGGGCGCCTGGCTGGCTCACTTGGGGTCTCCAGAGAGTGGAGAAGTGTGCAGCCACGTTGGCAGGCGCCCTGGGGACACGGAGAGGAGACTCTTGTCCTCGGGGGTCCCCAGGCTCGCGGCAGGGCTCCCCCGACGTCGGGCACAAGCTCGGGCTCTCGTGTGTTTCCTACCAGGTGCCGCCTAGAGGCAGCCCGTGTGGGGGACTGAGGGCTGGGCCTGAGAGAGCACAGCTCCCGGTTTGCATTTGCATGCCGGCTCCCCACACCCCCGCGCCCTTGGCACAGGGACCCCACTCATTATAGGAACGCTGAGGCTCCATCTCTGTGACTCACAGGGCTGTCATCCGCCCACAGTTCCAGGCCTCCAGCAGGCGCCTGCTTCCACGTGGGTCAGAGAAGGTGGAGTCCGGCCGGCCATAGGCCCCTCGGGACCCAGCCCCAGCGCCAGGAAGGGTGGGGCGACCGGCCTGGCCGGAGGGGTGGGTCGGGAAGAGTCCCTTCCTCTTTTCTTCCCTAAGGTTCCTGCCAAGACCGCCGCAGCGACTCCGTAGACGTGTTGCGATCTGGTTACAGCTGCGGCAGGCGTGGATACGAGCTGGTCTGAGTAGGTATGGGAGCCCTCTGAGCAGAGGGAGGGAGGAAGTTGCCCCCTGCATGGGGAGAAGGGAAAAAGGGGAAGGGAACCCCTGGGGGCCAAGACTTAGCTTGGGAGCCGGGCTTTGGGCTGAGGCCAGAAACAGTCACTATGGTTCTTCTTGCCCTTGGCCCTTGTGTGGGCCCCTGACCCCAGAGCCTTCTAGCCTTCCCTTGACAGCCGGGGGCTGCTCCTACATCCCAGAATAGTAACCAGGACAGGGCACCCAAACCAGCATGAGTGACAGAGCAGGTGGCCCAGGAGAGACAGACATTCAGCCCAGCCAGGAGTATGAAAGAGACTAGATGACAAAGAAGGGAGAACAGGGAAGAGAGGGGCAAGGAAGATAGAGGAAAGCAGAGTGGGAGGTGACAAAACGTTACCTGGGATGCAGTGGGAAGTTACTCAAACAAGAGGACTCAAAGGGGTGCCCCAGTGTTGCAGTCAGTTAATTGTCCTACTCCTGGTTTCGGCTCAGGTCGTCATCTCAGGGTCGTGAAATGGGGCCCGGTGTGGGGCTCTGTGCTCAGTGTGCAGCCTGCTCTGGGTTCTCTCTCTCCCCCTCTCCCTCCTGCTCACTCTCGCTCTCTCCCTCTCTCCCTCTCTCCCTCTCTCCCTCCCTCCCTTCCTCCCTTCCTCCCTCAAATAAGTTAAAATCTTTGGGGCACCTGGGTGGCTCAGTCATTAAGGGTCTGCCTTCAGCTCAGGTCATGATCCCAGGGTCCTGGGATCGAGCCCCGTGTTGGGCTCCCTGCTCAGCGGGGAGCCTGCTTCTCCCTCTCCCACTACCCCTGCTTGTGTTCCCTCTCTCGCTGTGTCTCTCTCTGTCAATTAATAAATAAAATATTTTATGGGGCGCCTGGGTGGCTCAGTGGGTTGGGCCGCTGCCTTCGGCTCAGGTCATGATCTCAGGGTCGTGGGATCGAGTCCCGCATCGGGCTCTCTGCTCGGCGGGGAGCCTGCTTCCACCTCTATCTCTGCCTGCCTCTCTGTCTACTTGTGATCTCTCTGTGTCAAATAAATAAAATCTTTAAAAAAAAAATAAATAAAATATTTTAAATAAATAAATAAATCTTTTTTTTAAAATAAGAGGGCTGAAAGCTATCAGTAGAAGGCAGTGGGGGAAGAGACGGAAGCAGAGAAGGAATATGGTTTATTTTGCCAAACCAACAGTTCCAGCCACGGAGACACCCAGCCAGCTCAGCGTCTCACCTCACAGCCCCTTGCTAGGTGTGTCTTGCCTGATAGCGCCTCCTGTGAGCCAGCTGGGGCTAGATTGGAGCTGAGCACAGAAGTCCCTTTGCTCCCCCCTCCCCCCGCCGTGAGTTGTCCTAAAGTAACTCCCTTTAGCCCATTATAATACTAAAGTCTCCTGTAGGTGGACTTTTCCAGCATTTTTTGAACATACGTTGTTTGCACTAACATGTTGACTTGCTAAGGCCTGCACAATTGAACCCAAACTGCCTATGTATTGTACCCCTAACCCACTGGATAAAAGCTTCCTCTGTTAACGTCCTGGGGAGACAGCACTTCATCCCCGTCTCCTTACTTGTACCAAGAACTAAAAACCTCTTAGCTTTTATTTTATTTATTTTTGTAATGATTTCATTTATTTGACACAGAGAGACACAACGAGAGAGGGAACACAAGCAGGGGGAGTGGGAGAGGGAGCAGCAGGCTTCCCTCTGAGCAGGGAGCCCGCCGCGGGGCTCGATCCCAGGACCCTGGGATCATGACCTGAGCTGAAGGCAGACGCTTAATGACTGAGCCACCCAGGCGCCCCGAAAGTCCTCTTAGCTTTTAACCCTTCCTTGGTTTGTGTTCAAGGTGGTGCACCCCAGGGGGTGAACACCTTGAGTCTGGTTACAGAGGTGACAGAGAAAAGCAGGCAGACAGAAGTAGAGGGACTTACGTTGCTTAAATGAGAATGACACGGATAGCAATCAAGCAAGGGGCTGAACCCAAATGACAGGACAAAGTTTGAGTGCATCTGAAACCAAGGTAAACCAAGAGACGCTCGAAAAGCGGGGGGCTTGCACAGGTAGGTTGAACAAGATGGGCTGTCTGGGGAGGGCAGGGCCGTGGGAAGGGGGCCCATCCCCCTCTGCAGTGGGTGATTTAGTCTGGCTGAGATGATTTTCGGTGCATACGCCCTTGAACCCAGTAATTCTGCTGCTGGGAGTTTGTCTCAAAGATACCATCTCCCAGGCAGAGAGAGACGTGTTGTTAATGGTGGCGAAAAGTTGGAATTCACTGTCACGTTGAACTCTTGTGACCTGTTGGTGGGCATGGAACAAAGGGGTTAACCCCTACGGAAGATGGTCTGGTGGCTCCCCAGAGAAGTGTGACCCAGCAATTTCACTTCTGGGTATACACACGAAAGGATCCGCAGCAGGAACTGGAGGAGATCTTGGCGCACTCAGGTTCACGAACTGTGATTGACCGCGGCCAAGGCTGGACGCGAGCCAAGTGTCCATGAACGGCCGAGTAGGTCAGTTCAGTTGGGTTCATCCATACCGCTGAATGCTCTCCGGCCCTAAAAAGGACAGAAATTCTGACACTTGCTACAACCTAGATGAAGCTTGACGACATGCTCAGTGCACCAGCCAGTCACAAACACACGTAACGTATGACTTCTCTCCTGCAAGGTGCCGAGAGTAGTCTGATTCATGGAGACACAAAGTGGGATGGTGCGCCAGGGGCTGGGGGGAGGAGGATAGAGGACGAGTGTCTAATGGGGACAGAGTTTCAGTTTGGGAAGCTGGAAAAATTCTGGCGATGGATGGCAGTGTGATTGTACAAAACAGTGTGGATGTACTTAATGCCACTCAACTCTGCATTTAAAAATGGTTAAGATGGTGGAAAAAAAAAGGCAAGATGGTAAATTCTATGCTATGTGTATTTTAGCACAATTAAGAAGAATGAAGTTGAGGGGCACTTGGCGGGCTCAGTTCGTGGAGCATGAGACTCTAGACCTCGGGGTTGTGAGTTCAAGCCCCACATTGGATATAGAGATTACTTAAAAATAAAATCTTCAAAATTTGAGAGAAATGGAGAGACTGAGAGACAGAGCATGAACAGGGAGGACGAGGCAGAGGGAGAAGGAGAAGCTGGCTCCCCGCTGAGGAGGGGGCCCGCCAGTGTGGGATTGATCCCAGAACCCCAGGATCATGGCCTGAGCAGAAATCAAGAGTCCTACGCCCAACTGACTACGCCACCCAGGCACGCCACTTAAAATTGTTAAAAAAAAAAAAAAAGTGAAGTTGAGCCCTGCGTGCTGGTGTTGAAGGTGTCCATGGGGAGAAAGGCAGGCGGTCTGTGATGCTGGCGGTTCTGGGAGGCCGGTTCTGGGAGGCCAGTGCTAGCTCGGTCCCACACTGCCATGTCCTTTCAGAAGCAGAACAGAGCCCAGCTGGGAGCGTGCCCTGGGACGGCCTGGATTCCTCCAGAGGGTCCCAGCAGCCCCCACACAGCCATGCACTACCCAGCCATGCTCCTGCTTCTCCTGCCTGGGGGCGCTGAGGCCTTTCGCATCTGTGCCTTCAATGGCCAGCGGCTGACGCTTTCCAAGGCGGCCAGAGAACATGTGATGGACACCTTTGTTCGGGTAGGTTCATCACTGAAGGAAAGCTGTGCCCACGACCCAAAGCCCCCGCCCTGCCTGACCAGGGGCATTTCCCAGAGGAGAGGGGACATCAGGAGACCTGGGTATGGAGATGGGGAGCACATTCCTTCGCTGTCATCGGCCTCCATCTCCTCTGTAATCTGGGTGCAGTGTGGTTGGGGCGGCACTCGGTCTTCTCCCTGGTCCCGGTGCTCTCCGTGGGCCTCAGCCAGAGAGCCGTATCACTCTTGGCCACACCAGTGCTAGTTCCCCAGGGAGCCCGACTTCCTCCCGAGGTCGCTGGCACTGACCAGCCCTCCTGCTGTCCGGCAGATCCTGGCTCGCTGCGACATCATGGTGCTGCAGGAGGTGGTGGATGCTTCTGGCAGTGCTATCTCTCTCCTTCTCCGAGAACTCAATCGGTGAGGAAGGCTCTGGGGGGCTAATCTGGGGGCCCCCCCAGCACCTCAGGGGCCCTGACTCTGGGTTTCCCTGTCCCGGCAGATTTGACAGCTCTGGGTTCTACAGCGTCTTGAGCAGCCCCTCGCTGGGGCGCAGCACATACATGGAGAAGTACGTGTATGTGTACCGGTAAGCACAGACGGGGCCGGGCCGGGGTTGGCACCGCGCCCAGTGCCAGGAGCCTCCATCATCCCAGCAGCTGCAGGTGCCTTCCTCCCACGGTAGCCCTCACCTTCTCATTGCACTTTTTCTCCTCAGAGGTTTTATTTCAGGCTCAGATTCTCCTCCAGCCTAGCCAGCAGTGATGGCCACGTGTCCCTATGGCAGGGGGACTTCGTTATCCGTGTGCAGACGTGGGGCCGCTCTGCCTCTCGCCCGTGGAAACCAGCGCAGGGGCTCAGGGCAAGGCTGGCCTCCTCTTTGGGAGTGAACCAGCTAAAGCTTCTGGGAAGAGACTCAACAGTGGGGGCTCATTGAGGACCTTGGGCAGACCCAGTTTGCAGAGACAGCCCTAAGTCTGTAGGACAGCCTGGGGTGGGGGAACCCTCTGGGGTCGGGATGGAGAGGGCAAGGGGAGTGCTCAGGTGAGGAGACCTACTTATACAGATGAAATCATGTGTCTAGAATTCACTTCCGTGTTATGTGAAGTATATCTCAATGAAAAACAAGTTCTAGAAAAGCAGCTAGGAAGGCTGCGGTCACATGAAATAGGGCTGGTCATGGAAGGCCTCTTGCTCTGAGTCCCGGCTGAGTTAAATATCACCGATGTGGGGCCACTGCTTCTCATGCCTTGGTCCCCCAGGTCACACAAGACACAGATCCTGGATTCCTATGTGTATGAGGACACGGATGACCTCTTTGCCCGGGAGCCCTTTGTGGCCAAGTTCACTTTTCCCAGCAAGGGTAGGAAGGGAAGAAGGGTGGCCCCGCTGCCTGGGAGCAGGAAGGAGGGGCGGGCTGGCGGTCCCGAGGGCGTGGTTGCTGGGAAGAGGCTGGGCGAGGAGTGCCCAGGAGCGGGTGGGAGCCCTTGGTCCCTGGGGCCTTGCAGTCCTTCCCAGCCTGGTGCTGGTCCCGCTGCACACCACTCCGAAGGCCGTGGAGAAGGAGCTGAACGCCCTGTACGACGTGTTTCTGGATGTCTCCCAGCGCTGGCAGAGCCAGGTAAGGTTGGGATGATCGCACGGGGGACCGGGGGGAGGGGCACTGGGTGGCCGGGTCTGACTCCTGCCCCCCTCTCCAGGACATGATCTTGCTCGGGGACTTCAACGCTGACTGTGCCTCACTGCCCAAAAAGCGCCTAGGGGAGCTGGTGCTGCGGACGCAGGCAGGCTTCCAGTGGGTGATTGGCGACGAGGAGGACACCACAGTGCGGGCCAGCACCCGCTGCGCTTACGACCGCGTGGTGCTGCACGGGGGGCGCTGTCAGAGCCTGCTGCGCTCCGCGGCTGCCTTTAACTTCCCCAGGAGCTTCGGCCTCACTGAGGAGGAGGTAAAGGGGTGAGACCACAATGGGCCCACAGTTAAGTGCCTCGGCCCCAACGCTGAGGCTCTGTCCTGCTGCCATCCCCCAGGCCCTCAACATCAGCGACCACTACCCTGTGGAAGTAGAGCTGAACCGGGCGGCACCCGGGCTCCCGCCTCTTGGCCTGGCCGCCCTGTTGCTGCTGCTGCTGCTCCTGCTCCCCCGCCTGGGCCTGGTGGCCTGAAGCAGCCCTGAACCTGCCGCCCGCAGATGTGAGGACCGCGCTGCCTTCGGGACTCAGATCCTGCTCGCTCCCCCGTGTGTGCTCCCTAGAGACTCCTCCATCTGATCGTAGCTCCACCCCACCGCAATGCAACCCTTGGCCATCTGCCTTCTCTTCGCTTGGCTTGTGTTCTTTGGTTGGGCCCCTGCCCGGCATTAGAATGTAGGGAGGAGGCATGCCCTGAGGCTAGACGCATGCCACTCTGCCCCCAGCTAGTGTCAGGAGTGGGGACAGAGCAGGCTCCAGGGCTGGGGGCTCAGGTGATTTGCACTCAACTGCAGGGCTCAGAGAAGGGAATCACAATAGGTTGGAAGATTTTATTAGATAACCAAAAGGAAACACCGCTGAGAACAAAAAGCTAAATTGCGGGTCTATTACATACGTCAAGCGGATGTGCCAAGGGGCCGTTTTTATTACACACAGGATCCCTATGAATCAATATTAAAATTGCGGCAGACAGAGGGATCCATAAGCAGTTTACACGCACACACGCATAGTAACTAGCAAAGTATTTACAGTTGTTGAATCCAATAAATAAAAACAGTTGCTGTCAAGCCCAAGTTCACAACCACGGTGCGGCCCAACCTCCCCCCACCCGGAGTACAGTCGATCCACACTGGCTGCGTGACCACAAGGCGAGGCTCGGGCTGGTAACCAAGGTTAAGGGGCACACAGAAGAGAGAGGCCCCGCCCATGAGTACCTAGGTGCTTGTGCAGGTGAAGGGACTACCAGATACTTAGCAAAATGTTAACAATGATCCTGTTTTGGGTGTTGGTATCGTAGAACCCTTCCTTCCCCAGCTTTATTTTCCAGAGCTCAGTAAAACCAGCAAATATTTATGGTTTAGAACCATCTCAAGGTCAAGAATAAAGGTAATTTTCAATCTTAATGGCTGTTAAATAATGATTACTAAAGGCTGGTGGGCTCTCCAAGGGCCAGAGACTCAGAGCAGTGAAGCGCAGCCCAGCGAAGCAGCAGTGGGGCTGGGCAGCCACCGTGGGCCACTCTGGAAGCCATCTCTTTAGGACCCTCTTCTGAGAAGCCACAGGGTATCGGGCCTAAGAGATCCCACCAGCTTATTTGTGCTGCCCCAGGGTACTGTACTGAATGCTCCTCTTGGAACCCTGGCCTACAACCGAAGTGCCAGACAGCACAAAGAACCCCCAGCCCAAGGGGAGCTGCACTCTCTGCCAAGAAAGTTCATCTTACAGGCCATTTCAGGTGGTCTGGGGGAGCTTGAGCTCAGGGTGGAGCAGTCAAGGACTTGTAGAGGCCACAGAAGGGGTGGCAGGTAGTTTCGAGTGTGGGTCAAAGCTGCCTTACAACTTTTAACCCATGAAACTCCTCAGGGGCTAACAGGAAGACCCATCTCCTAGACAGCTGGTTGAAACATGGCCGAACCGTGCCAGGTCTTCACTTCTCCCCATTTCTGATCACATTGCTGGTCTGGGACCCTCTTCAAGGAGAGCTTCCACAGCAGCCACTTTACTAAGGCAGCACTCAGTGCCTAGGGACTCATCAGAGTGGACTTGTAAAGGGAAATCCCAAACTGACAACTTCTCATCTAAGCAGGTCCAAGTCAACACCCTAGACAACTGAAAAGATGCCAATTCTGGTCAACTTAGCAGCCTTCTCAAAATAAAGGACTGTGACTTCAGAGTCTCCAAAAAGCCCCCCCCCCCACCATGAATCCAGATGCACAGACAGACAGGAAGTTGGATTTATTGGTGGGCATGAATATGACGGGAAGGGATAGTGCCAAGGTTCTCATGAGTGCAGAGCCCTCCATTTGTCCAAGGGACCACGGTTAGGGATGTATTTGACCCCACAGCCATCAGGGATAAGCCGCTTTTCAGCCACCATGTCTTCAAATTCATCTGCATTGAACTTCGTAAAGCCCCACTTCTTGGAGATGTGGATCTAGGGAGAGATTAAAAGAATGTCATCATAACGTCTGGACACTGAGGCAAGCAAAGAAAAGAATGGTGCTTTCAGCACAACTCACCTTCTGGCGGCCAGGGAACTTGAACTTGGCCCTGCGTAGGGCCTCAATCACATGCTCCTTGTTCTGCAGCTTGGTACGGATGGACATGATGACTTGGCCAATGTGGACCCTGGCTACTGTGCCCTGGGGCTTTCCAAAGGCACCCCGCATACCTGTCTGCAGTCTAAATTGGAGATAGCCATGAGGTCAGACCCCAGCATCCATCAAAAGGGCTGTCTCCAAGGTCCCTTAGGGCAACCCGTACAATCAACAGGCTGCATACACTACCGAGGAGCCTACTGTTTGCAGCCATGGCACACTGGGCCCCCATAGACAAAGAGCACAGTCGGCTTAATTGGCTGCAGAGAACAGAAAACCCCAAAACTGACTAGCCAGTCCCTATGAGGTGGCACTGGGCTCATCCGAAAGACCGAACTGTGACTGCTTCAGCTACCTGCTTGCTGGCAGATGGCTGTCAGCAGGATTAAAGCTACTCCCTCAGAAGCACCTCCCTCCACCAGTCAGTCACCAAGAGGTGAAGTCTGAGTCACCATGCCTCTTATGCTCGTTTCCTCAAGTCAATTCTGTGCAGTGGTAGGAAGGGAAAATAGTCCATTAAAATGCACCCGGTTGGGACGCCTGGGTGGCTCAGTTGGTTAAGCAGCTGCCTTCGGCTCGGGTCATGATCCCAGCATCCTGGGATCGAGTCCCGCATCGGGCTCCTTGCTTGGCGGGGAGCCTGCTTCTCCCTCTGCCTGCCATTCTGTCTTCCTGTGCTCGTTCTCTCCCCCTCTCTGACAAATAAATAAAATCTTTAAAAAAAAATGCATCCGGTAACATGTAACCTGGTTTTATTACAGGTGGTTGAGTTTGGTTGTGTGAGGCCCATTTATTTACTCTGATTAAGAAAAAAATCAAGCCAAACAAGGGCCTCAACTATGGCAAAACACCTGAAAAGGCGGAGACCCAGGACCCAGCTCACCTGTCCGCTCCAGCACAGGACAACATCTTGTTGATGCGGATGACATGGAAGGGATGGAGCCGCACTCGGATGTGAAAACCATCTTTGCCACAGCTTTTCACCATGTATTTGTTGGCACAAATACGGGCAGCCTCCAGGGCTAGGTTGGCGATGGGGGGGGAGGCAGCACAGTGAGACAGGACAGCCCAGAAGCAGTTACCATAACCCCCCCTGGCTCTCACAGCCTATCTGTAGCGGCCATGTTGACAAAGGCTGCCCATTGGATACTCATGACTGATAAAGTCCCGGCAGTCAGAATGTACAGTGATTAGGAAGGCACCCTGCCTCACCTTCAGAGGAGAGCTGCTCGTATTCATCGGACACCATGTGGCCGCATAGTGGGAACTCATCTACTTTTGCCTTCTTCCGCCCCAGGTCAAAGATGCGAATCTTGGCATCTGAAAAGAACTTGTTAAGTGTGTGGGAGTGGATGCCATAGGCACCTGAGTCAGTGGAGCCAAACCAGTTTAGTTTGGGAGCTCTCCCACTACTTACCAGGGACACCTCTGCAGAAGCGAGATTTTGGATACGGCTTGTTCTTGCAATACCGGTAACTGCGGGGAGGGGGGAAACCCAAGTTTACAGTTCACAACTGAACCCAACAATACTCTGGGGGGCTCCCATAAACTAAGACGAAAGGAGGACTGGGAATGGAGAGGACAACAATGTGTCAATCTCCAGCTGTCTCCACCCCTGGTGGTTTTAAGCAAGATATGGTCAAAGTAAGGTGGTGAGATGTTAGAAAACACCCATGCTAAGAACATAAAAGCAAAACAATCTCGCTTGATCCCTTATTATGGTTTCATACTTCGCATAAACTCAACATGTCCAAAAGGGCTTTTTCAGTTAAAAAAAAAAAAAAGTATGTCTCACTTCAAGGCATTGCCAAGTCGCTGATTAGTAATTCAGTTCATGCCGTCCACCGACTTTTGGGCACGTGGCACTAAGTCCGCCTCCAAACCACGTGTGAAGAGATCCTGACGCCCCCTGCAGGGCACACGAGGCGGCTGAGCCCGCTTTTTGGGGCTGCCCTTGGCGTCCGAAAAGGCACGGGCATGTCGCCCGGAAATAAGACCGGGATAGTACACAAAGGCCCTGAAAGGGTACTGAGGCTAAAAACGTGGCGAATTTCCAAGACAGGAGGGAAGCAAGGCGGACGTCACTCCCAGCCCGAAAAGTGGTGGAACGGATGTAGTGCAGGGTAGTAAACCTGCCACCCCGCACAAAACAGAAGCCGCGCTAAAGAGCAACATCAACTTTTAAAAGAAACAGTATAACCAAACACCCCAAGCGACCCGGAAGGTATTGGGAAAAACGTAGAGTCTGTTCCCAGTACAGGAAAGGTGCACTAGAGGCCCCACCCCACGGTTGGTTTTAGAGGCGAAATACGGATCTCCCTCCTTTTTCATAGCTGCTAAATTTCACGGATTCGGGACTCACCACCGGGCGGGGCGGCGGCCCATGGCGACACCAGGATCTTCAGTGGCTGCAACGAAACAGATAAAGTCGGACAGAAGGCGAGGGCAGGCCTCAAACTAGGCCAGAGAATCAGTAAGAGCAACGCACGACCCTAGAACCTCTACTACTCACCGCGCCGAAGGAAAAGAGGCGCTCCCACGCCTGCGCATGCCTTATATAGGCGGACTATCTTCACGCGTAGATACCATAGAGTCCTGGCCAAGGCGGATGGACGCTCTGTCACACGTCCTAGACCATAGACGCAGCACCGTTGTGCGCCTGCGTGCAGGCGTGGCTTCCGCACACGCGCAGAACGGGCCACAGCAGGGTGTTAGCATACGGGCGACCGCTTGGCCAATCTGGCGTCGCCACATCGGCACGAGAAACCTGCTTCCGGCTGGCCATCTTGGGTGTAGAACTCCCGCCGAGGCTTTGCCATCACTAAAAGACATATATTCCTGAAATTGAAAGAAGTACCCTAGAGTGGGGCTTACGGCGGCTGCGTGCGTGTTCCTGGAGGTCACGAGGCTGAGACCCGGCCTCCGAGCCTCCCTCTGGGCTCCAGGACTCCACGGCACACGCCATGCTGGAGTCTCGGTCCGCGTTCCTTTGTCGGCGGAGTGGCTGGCTTACCCCGCCCACGTCTCCCCCGCCCTAACCGAAGAGTCCGGACCTGGCGTTGCTGGGAACCTCTCGCACAGCCTCCGGTCAATGGAGACACGGGGCGGGGCTGCGCCCTCTCGCGAGAAAAGAGCCAGGGAGAAGCCTCCCCCGTGATCCGGGGCCCGAGAGACCCCGTGTGAGCCTTAGCTCCAGCCCCGCCCACCCTGACCCGGCAGAGGAAAGAGACAGTCGGCTCCCAAGCTTAACTTGGACTGGGAGGACTGCGAGTCCACCCAAGATGGCAAAGGAGCACGAGATGTCATTCCTTCTCTGGCTGCGCCCCAGTCCTGGGCTCTGAGAGCGGCCTTCCTGGGCGCTTCTGGGCGCTTCCACCCTCCCAGGGCCCATATTACACAATCTCTTCCCCTCCCACTG